CATATGTGGGCTCAGTGTCGCCGCTGCTGTCTCATCCGTGCTAGGAAGCAGGCGTTCTTCCCCCGAGAGGTGAGGAAAGAGAGGTCCTGATGCTTGGTACACATGAGGGCGTAAATGCAACGATCCTGGAGAGTTTCTGCTTAGTCTGCTTTCTGATCCTGAGGGACCTATTTATATGTATTTAAAATTGATACATACTTATCCTTTTAAACAATTTTCAGTACTCAATAGTATTACATTTCTTTACTGAAATCACCTCTAAAATGCCGTTAGTGGTTCTTAACTCAAGTTTTTTTTTTTTTTAACTAATTTGAGAATATTTTCCTTGGCCCACTCCTTGCTGAAAGAATGAGCTACTGTTAGAGCTACTGTCAGTCTCCTGATGTCCCTGTGAGGTCGCTGATGGGCTAGGGATTTAGCTCAGTGGTGCTGCGCCTTCCTCGCAAGTGCAAGGTCCTGAGTTGGATTCCCAGTACTGCAAAAGAAAAAAAAAAAAAAATTGCTGACACAGCTGTGTCGGGGTGCGTCATGCTGCTTTCATTGAGTAGCACAGCTTGCTTTGCAAAAAAACCACAGCTCTCGGGGTGCGTCATGCTGCTTTCATTGAGTAGCACAGCTTGCTTTGCGCACCTCTTAGTTGCTGGAATAAGCCTGGACTGTGACTTGGCTCAAGAAATGTGCTGGGATCCTGGGACCTCAGCACATGCTGTGAGCAGAGTGAGCCTTCACTGGGTTTCCTGCTGAGCCCTCACTTTCCCCTTGGGACCTCAGATGCCCAGAAGGAGAATATACTTCCAGCCGCTTTTTAAGCAGTTGACTACCAGTTTTTATTTTAATTCTTTTTTTTTTGGTACTGGGGATATTAAACTTGGGTCCTTGTGCTTGCAAGGCAGGCCACCGAACCGCTGAGCTAAATCCCCGGCCCTGACTACCAGTTTTTAAAAAGTGATAATGTTATTTGTTCTTTGTTCTTTTGGGGGGACTCAGAGAACTTCCTCTTCCTTTTCAAAGACCATTGTGCATTGCAGACTAGTATAATTCTGAAAGAGAGTTTTTTGCTTTTAAATGATCAGTAGCTTATAAGAAATTCTTTCAATGGGGACCTACTTTTCAAATGATTTTACTCTCCGTTATGTCCTTGTTTGCTGCCAGTTAGAGATTTTAAAGTTCTGGTTGAGAGGTTGATTGTTCCGCAGAAGTGGACCCAGGCCATCTGTGGGAGGACTTACGAATACAGAGGGCTTGGAAGAAGGGACAGTGACCAAACCAGGGCTGCTGTGCAGTTCTCAGATCCTGTCCTTGTCCTTGCAGAGTCCGTGTGAGGGACACTGTGTAAGGGACAGGACACTGGGCTCTCAGAATGCTCTGGAACGTACTGTATTGGAAACAGAATGCCGGCTCTGGCTCTCGGGGGAGAACCAAGCCTTCAATTTCAGAGCCCAGCTGTAAGAACCTAGCAAACCCGAGCCTGTTTCGACCTCAGCTACAGAGGAGCACCTCATGACTGCCGCAGGAGGCGTCTGTCCGCATTTCTGCTTTTAGCTTTAGGGTGGGCTCTTGGCTGGCTCCATACCCAAGCAGTGATAGCTGCAGCACTGCAGATTCCCACACTGTGACTCTGATCTGATGCCCTGAGGACCTGGCTCCTGGGTTCAGGCTGTGAGATGGGTTAGGTAAAGCGACTGCCACTTCTCAGCAATTCCCCCAGAGGAGTCTGAGTACTTCCTTAGTGAAGGTTGTTTGCTGATCACTTCTGTGATTTCTTCCTATATGTTTCTGTTTTCTCTTGTGAGAAAGACATGTCTGCTTTTAAAAGAAAGTCAATAGTTGGAACTTCTTATATGAAGTATTCTGTAAATTAATTTAAAATGAATACTCGGTGTAAGAGTTTTCCGAGACTAGAGCTTTTATGAACTGTTGTTAGTAAATTATTCTAGTAGTACACTTTTCCATGTCATTGAATGTTTAAATCTTCCTGAATTCTTTTATCCCTCCCTCCATATTTTTTGAGACAGGGTCTTGTTGTGTAGTTCAGGCCCACTTTGAAGTCACTGTGCAGCCCTGGCTGGCCTCATACAGCAGTCCTGCTGCCTCAGCCTCCCGAGTGCCGAGTGCTAGGATTATAAGCGTGGTTATTAGTGATTTCCATCCTTAATTGCTTTGATTATACTTCGACTTAGTTTTTCTCAAAGTGAGCCTCAGAAATAGCACTTGTGGAGTTACGCATACGGGGTGCTATTCCATCCTGGTTTCTCATAGTAGTGTATTTACTGTCTGTGCCACTCTGAGAGGTCAACGTTATCGTCCCTGGTTTACAGAGGACCTGGGTCCCATGTGGGTCCTTGGAGTGTTCCCTCACGCTCCATTCCCTGAGGATACCCTTCCTGCTGCTTTTCTGTCCTCTCTTGGAACCCTTCCCAGCGTCCCAGGGCACCCACCACCCCTCCCTGTCCCTGCTCCGAGGGACAGACTCCCCCAAGCCACAG